CACGCAAAATCAGCACGAAAACGCCCGGCTGAGCGAGCAAGTGACACGCTTACAGCAACAAGTCGAGGACTTGAGCAGGCAAGTCATCAGTTTGAGCGAAAATCTTCCCCTGTTATTGCGGTAGCCGAGCATAAACGTGCAGAACAACGGCGAAACGAATTAGAGCAACAGCGACAAAAAACGCGCAGCCGTGATAATGGTTTTGGGATGGGATTTTAAAAATGGGTGTGAAAACACGAAATTAGCGGACAAAGATGACAAATTAACCCTGTTCGGTGTAACTTAACCGCAGCAGAAAAAACAAAGCCCCGATATTCATGCGTTAATCTTGGCGGATTCTCATGAACAATCAGGGCCAGGTATCGAAACCTTAGAGAGATATTAGCACATGAACGGTGTAAAACAACAGCCCCGCCATAAGGCTGGGAGTCTTGACTAACCACGCATTAGCGTTATTTAACGAACGTCTCCCTCATAAACCGTATTATTCGGATGATTTGCAATTTGGTGTGCGTATTGCTGCCAAAGATCGGGCTATTCTTGCCAAATATATTCAGTTTAACCAACCTCACGCCCAATTCTGGCTGGGATTTGATGTTGACCGTCAAGGGGCAGCCTTAGACTGGAGTGACCGAAACGCACCAGCCCCTACTTTTACCATCATGAACCCGAAAAACGGGCACGCCCATCTGCTTTACGGGCTGGAAACGGCTATTCGTACCGCTCCGGACGGAAGAATAAAACCCCTCAAATACGCGGCAGCAGTTGAAAATGCACTGCGCAAAAAACTCGACGCAGACATAGGTTATTCAGGACTGATTTGTCAGAATCCTAACCACAGTCACTGGAAAATTTCCGTATGGCAGCCTGAACTCTACACACTAGACTGGTTAGCCGACTCACTCGACCTGAACGCCGCGAACGACAAAGAAATTGTCGTCGATTACGGTTTAGGCCGTAATTGCACGCTGTTTGATAAAACACGAAAGTGGGCATATCGCGCCATCCGTCAGGGCTGGCCTGAGTATGAGCAGTGGCTGCAAGCCTGCTATGAACGAGCTAGTGCCTATAACCTACAGTTTTCTTTTCCATTGGACGATAAAGAAGTTAAAGGTATTGCAAACAGCATATCTAAATGGACTTTTGCTAATTTCTCTGATGTAGCGTTTAGAGAATACGTAATAAAAACGCACTCTCCAGAAATACAATCAATTAGAGGAAGGAAAAGTAAAGGGGGGGGGCGACCTAAGATGATTGGTGAACCGTGGAAGGATATGGGGATTAGTCGGTCAACATGGTATAGGAAATACAGGTGATTTATGATTATAAGTTGTAGGTTAGAATGTGATTTATGCGATCTACTGCTGCC